CACTTTACAGCATATTCTGTGAAGCGTTTTGAGGAGTCTCACCAACGTGATAAGGCGCTATATCAAATGCAAGGATTATCGTTATTATTATTTTGGGACGTCCTCCTGACATGAAAGGCACTAGATTTACACATAATTGTAAATTCTATTGTATAAGAGTCTCCTGACTTGACACTGTCAGAGCCTCAGTGAGACAATCAGCTTTTACGCTTTGAGAACTTCTAGCAAATTGCTTGTAGCATGGTGATCTCCCCAGCAGGCTCGGGGACCTTCTACAGAATCACAGAGATTGGAGTGTAAGGAGACTATTCAGACCAATGACCCAAACCAGTGTTAGCTCCTCCGCTGGATCTAACTAACCTACACCCTCATGACCCACCTCTGATAGTGTGCCAAAATAAAGCCGGGAAATAAATGAATTTCTAAATGCACTCGTTGAAGAAACTTTCTTAAAATATGTTTTGAAAACAGCCCATAACTTGTGCTTCTCCGTTGGCATGATCTGGGTTATCGTATGCGAGCATAGGAAACGGCCTCTCAGGGTTTACTCACAGGATATTGGCTTTACTGAGATGGAGCACAGCCAGGATGCCTTGAATAGGCTCAGTAAAAATGTGTTCAGCTTTCCAAAGTGATCCCTGCTAAGTGGGAACTGGTGGCCAGGGCTTTTCGTGGAATGAAATGTATGTAGGAAACCCCAATTGTGGTCTGTGTAATAACTGTGCAAATGTAACTTTTGGTACAGATCCTGTGCTTGCACAAGCTGCTTGACTGTTTCTTTTTCTAGATCCCATCACCTGGAATTCTTCCTCTCTACTTTCCAAAGCCTCCTAAAGATCTCTCTTTGACTGTGCTTATCAATCATTCCCTCCTTCTCCATCTCCTACTCTGCTGGAACTCACACTCATCTCTGTGAAGCACTTTGAGATATTTACCTTGAAAGGTAATATATAAAAGTATAAATTATTTGTCCCCGGAGTACCTTTGGTTCTTAGTCCAGACCGTAAAGAGCAACTTCTCTGCAGCACTCGTTGCACTCGGGGGCCAGTGGGTAAAGTGACTAGCCTATGGCACCTTCCCAAATGACTAGCCATGCAGTTTTAGTTGATTAAATTCCCATGCACACTCTGGGATCCACAAGCTCTAGCTCCTGACAACCTGCGCCTCATACTCTGGAATTAAGTAAGAAGAGTGGTCTGTCCATGGAGGGAATGTGGACTCTATTCCAGGCACATGTTGTGTATATATTATATGTGGAACTTTGTCTGCTTTGGATAATGTTAACGATCATAATGGATTTCCGCATGTGTCAAACAACAGCTGACAAAAAAAAGAGCACAACACTTAGCAAACTGCATTTATTATAGTTGGCCTTGTGGGGTTTTTTTTACATAAGGAAGTGCAGTTCAGATTCCTCTGTGACTCAGAATTTCCTCCATGTACCAATTTAATAAATAAACGTCATTGCATTTGATCTTACGCCTTTAACCTCAAACCTCCTCAAACTTCACAAGTAATTGTTATGGAACAGTAACTGTATACTTGTGGCTAAACGCAATAGATAATTTTCACAAAACAAGGTCCCGCAGACAACAATGAAGTGAATGATTGTTGGCCAGACCAACAAGAGAAATTCCCCAACACAGATCTATATTTTGTACATAACAACATGATGACATGTTGACATGCGGTGACGACAGTTGTAACTAGCTCACCCATATGCAGTAATTTGTGAATGGGATTCACAGACAAATAAGTATATACTTTTTTTTGGCCATTTTCCTCCCCTGGAGAGGATGTTGACTCATATTGACACAATGTTCCACTGGATTTTGCTGTTTAAAAGAGCCAGCAGAGACACGATGGGCTGATGGCCTTCCTCTGGGTTGCAAATTTCTGTGGTTCTATGGATGTCTGATGTTCTGGAGTAACTCATCCAATCGGACATTTTTCACATGTAAAGCTTAAACCATGAGTGTCAGCAGGCTATCTGACTATGGGGAGGGCATCAGAGATAATTCCTATCCTTATCTGACTTCCCTCTTCCCCAAACTCCACACGCACGCCCGCACACACACTCTCCAACCAGGGAGAAAAGTTCACTGAATTTTTATTGGGAATGGTTATTTTTTTCAGCCCCATATGTAAAACCAACACCAAAGACAATTTAACATGCCTTAGGCAACCCCAGCTGAGATGTGGTAATTCGACAAAGGCCAGGAATTGATCCTGGGATCTTCTGATCCACATGGGAGTATCAGGATAGTGCCCTTAACTACAGGGCCGTTAGGGAAACCACATCTTTCAATATCCTTTATAGTTGCTGTACGCTGCCACTTTACAAGATCACATAATGTCATAAGATTGTTTTGGATGAAGAAGGTCCTTCGGCCTATCTAATCTCACTCCCTCCAGAACATTCACCCTACCATCCCACCCATCGCATCATCAAGCTGCTTTTTAAATGAGTCCAGTGTTCTGGCCGCAAACGCCCTTTCTGGCAACTTGTTCCAGTCGTTAATTACCCTCTGAGTCAAGAAAAACATCCTCGTGTCTGTCCAGAAATTGCCCTTTACAAATCTAAACCTGTGTCCTCTTGTTCTATTGTCTTGGTCCATCCTAAAGTATTGGTTCACTTTTTCAATCCCATTTAAAGTTTTATATAGTAAAACTTGCTTAAATCTGATCTGTATAAATCGTATAATTGTCTAAGTCATACATCTACCCAAATCCCATTCAAGAGTTTATATTCTATGCAAGTTTGACTTAACTCATACTTTGCATAAATCATATTGAATGTATGGTCCCAACTGATGCGACTTATGTAAGGTTTACTATGAGGTCCCCCTGAGTCTGAAGAGCCCTACCTTGTCTGATTGTGTTCATTCCTCTAAGACTGGAAATCATTCTCGTTGCCCTCCTCTGCTGGTGCCTGGGCAGCCCCCCCCTAATGTTGTGGTGACAAGAACTGTATGCAGTACTCAAAGCATGATCTGACCAGAACACTATACAGCCTGAGTTTGATGTCTGGGGATCTGAACTTAAGTGATTCGATTTCCAGGGTCAGGAATGCAGTGGTTTAAAAAAAATCCCTACTTTAACCTGGGATTAAAGGCATTTCCCATCAGCACTGGATTCACACAAGGTTTGAGGCAGTTTCTGATTTCTTGGTTTGGACACAAGTTGAGTGAACACAAGTTGACATAAACTGTACAGTGCCTTGTAAGGAAACTGTTGCTTGTGGGGATCCAATGAGTCAGATTTCAGTAGCTTTGTCCTCCACATTTTTGTCACCTGGTGTGGAAACTTGATCATTAACTCTAGCAAACGTTTGCCAGTAATGGTTGTATGTGTAGTTTGTTGTATGTGTGTGTGTATGTATGTGAGAAAAGATCTGCCTGATATTGCAGAGTATCAGAGCTGAGTGCAATTCAATCTCTCTGTGGTTTACAAAGCTCGGTTTGATGGCTTTTTTAACAGGTAGGGTTGCTGGGAGTCCTGAAAGTTTCTGTAAAATGACTCAATCTACATTTGCTAAGGTAGTGAGTATATAGGGGCCTGCTTCCTGGCAACCTCTCCTCACGTTGTGATACTCCATCAGACATGTATACACAGTCACTACACTTTACACAATATCCTGTGAAGCAACAGCCTCCCGATGTGAAAGACACTGTACCAAATGTAACGATGATCATTATTATTAAACTACAAGGTACTGGGTACGATTGACAGCGTGCACTCTGAGCAATATGATAAACAGTGGATTATAAAAGTGGTGTTGTGTAATTTTGCCTTCCACTGTGAGATCAAGTTAGAGACCTAATCTTGAAGCCTCTGACAAGTGTTGTTTCAAAATGAGTCCAGCAGGAAATAGGCAGAGCATCCTGGGTGATCCTTGTGGTTTGTGCTCCCAATGGGAACCTGGCCTTGTTGGCATGGCTGAAATTAGGAAATCACTGTATTAGATTTCAGAGACACCTCTGCATGTTTCCAAATCGCATCAATATTGAAAGTAGTTGCTCCATTTCCGGGTACCCATGACAAACTCTTTGCTCTAAAAGTTTTCCCTCTCCCTGCAGAGCCTTTAACAACATACATTCCACAACCTTATCTTCCAAAGCAAATGAATAAATGAGATCACTTGAAATTGGAGCAAATGTGTGGGTGTGAGAGAGTGCAGAATCTGGATAGCTTGTGAATGAATGAATGAATGAATCATACAACAACAACAACAACAACAAAATTACATTTATAGAGCGCCTTTCACGGAGGGAGGACCATGTACACTTTCAAGGGATTCTAAATACAAAGGAACCCATTTATAGCCCCTTTGGCCTACTGTGGACTAACGTCATTTCCTGTGTGCTGTTAATGCATGCTCTGTGCAGGAAGTGCCGCCAGAAAGAAGTGATGTCAGTGGTACTTCATGCGCATTGCATTCATGTGCTCAAGGTGTAGGAAGTGACATCAGGGCTGCCTTGTTAACATGGAAATCCACCAGTTTTTCCGTGCCTGTAACGCGGGTACTGAGGTATTGGACCCAGCGGACCATGCTGTACAGCGATCTCCCTGTACCCGCAAGGTGGGAGATTGTGTCTCTGTAATTGTATTGTAGAGAAGGGTCCGAAATGAATCATTGTGTAAGTACCTAATAAACCTCCCATAGTGTATGTCCGGGACCTTCTGTCTTTGTGAAAGCCGCACACGTAATGCTGTTAGACGCCGTTTTATGTGTTCTCCTGATTTAACAAGAAGTCATTAGCGAGGCCTGTGGTGTATGGCCAAGGCTGTTGAGTTGCCATAGCAGCACACAGAGAATGTGACGTGCAACAGGAGCGCTTCTATAGACTCAACAGACTGAAGAATGAAGAGTTTTTTTTAAAAAAATCCAATTAAATGTTTCTGCTTGAAAGAAGGACGTAGAGAAGCCGGGTAGATAGCCGAGGCTCGGGCATTCCTCTGGCTGTCGTGCTCTGACACTCCCTTTTTTACTCTTTCAGAAGAGGAGACGGCGGATTGACCGAAGCATGATCGGAGAGCCGACGAACTTTGTTCACACGGCCCATGTGGGATCAGGAGACGTCTTCAACAGCGGGATGAATTCAGTGAGTACTAACTAGCGCTTTCTGCGTGGAGTTGCTGCTGTGACACAACAACAACAAAAACAATAAAATTACATTTATATAGTGCCTTTCATGTCGGAAGGACGTCCCAAGGTGCTGGGAAGACACACTGCCTGGTACAGTGTAGGAATGGAGCGGGCAAGAAAGAACACTTAAAAGTGAATCGCAATCTGGGAATGTGCATCTTAATGTAAATTTAACACAGAAGGAGGTCACAGTAATACCATCTCTGCACTTTACAGTAAATCCTGTGATGCACATTGAGAACGTCCATCCCAATGTGAAATGCCAAATGCAAGGATTATTTTTATTATAACTTCGCCTTTATCCTGAGTTTAACCATCTCCAGACCAGTAACACTTAAACACGGTCAATGGGTGGAAAAAGGTTCCATATCTCACCTTAAAGAATATAAAATTTCACGAGATTTCACCCGCAGAAAGTACATCAACAACAACAACAAGATTACATTTGTATAGTAATTTTCACGTCGGTAGAACGTCCTAAGGCTCCATATTCAACAGAAACATGCTCCAACTATGTGACATTGCGTTTCAGTTTTCTTCAGAGCTGAAGAGGTCCTCTGTGACCTGCTAACCCCTTATCAATCTGTCCGCTCCCTCCGCTCAGTGGGTTCCTGCCTGATCCACGTTCCCCCGTCCGGCCTGCCACTTCATCGACGGTCAGGCCTTCAGCCTCTCTGCTCCCACCCTTTGGAACTCCATCCCACATTCCCTTCGCCTCTCTCCCTCCCTTGCCTCCTTCAAGGCACGTCTGAAGACCCTCCTCTTCGACCGTACCTTTGGCCATCCTCCTACCCTCCCTGCCCTCCACCCTCCTGATCGCAAACATCTGCTCGGATCCAAATCCCTGACTGTCCAATGCCTTGCAAAGTCCTCACAATGTGAAAAACACTAAACAAATCTAACTTTGTATTGTAGAAACAGGAGGAAAAAACTCAGGATGTGTCTTAAAAAATAATGGGAACATTTGGGTGCATGTTGGCCAAGTCCTGACTGTCTGGGAAACCTGTTGGAAGAGTCAGTTCTGCTGTACCCAATCCCTCCTGGACCTGACAATGTACTTGATGACCCAGCACAAGGTGCAGGGCACTTACAGTCTCAAACAGGCTCTTAGTGGCGAGTGATCAGCCTATTTTTCTATGTGCAACAAGTTCATTCGTGGAACCCGATGAGCGCAGCACGGGAGCAAAGTGAGAGCTCTCTAGCAACTCAGAACTGCTGCTTCCAGCATACAGAACAGGATTCATCTGAAACAGCGGCTTTTTCAAAGTCACTCCGTCCAATTTTTTTAAAAAATATTTCTTTTGAGCTTCCATTGTTCTGCAAGTCAAAGGAGACGTGAATAGTCCTTCCTGAGCCAGCTTAAAGCGAAAAGTTTCCAACTTTATATGCACTGTTCAGTGGTTTTAGTTTCAAGAAACCACTTTATAGAGTTCCATTGGCTTCACAATTGAGTATTGGCAAATTGGCCACGTTTCGTGAAGTGAGTCCTGTTTAATGCGAGACTGATTTGGTCTTAACCCAACTGTTGTTTTATTTAATTGACACCAGTTGTGTTCACAGAATCACAGAATGTACGGCACAGAGGAGGCCACTCAACAAAAACAGCGATTTACATTTATATAGTGCCTACCATGTCGAGAGGACGTCTCAAAGTGCTTCATAGTGTTAATTTGGGACCAGAGCTGGGGAGGGTTGGAAGGATTCAACCAGTTCATTCTGCTGCCAGCTCCTCTAACAAAGTTATAAACTTTAATCCCAATTCACTGCCCTTTTCCTTGCCTCTGTGACGTTCTCCTGCTTGTCCCCTCCATTGCTGCATGTTCTCTGCTCGCCTTTGGCAGCTGAGTCTCCAGCTACTATATTAATAATCCTTGCATTTGATATTAAAGTGGAGTGCTGACTGTCTGACCACATGTTTTTATACTCGATTATTACACCCGGAAAAGCGATCCGCCAATCAACCATTGATATCAAATGCGAGGCTTATTATTATTTACTGCTAGGTAAACAGAGGCATGTGGAGTAAGGAAACTTGCCCACCGTTTCAGCCTGCCGGGAATCAAACCCAGGTTTCTCGCTTGCGAGGTGAGTGCTCCAACCACTCAGCTGCAGGACTCCTGCATTTTCTCTGCTCACCATTGGCAGTCAAATCAGCAGCTGGAGTCCTGTAGCTCAGTGGTTAGAGCACTCGCCTTGCGAGTGAGACACCTGGGTTCAATTCCAGGCAGGGCGAAACTTTGGGCAAGTTTCCTTACTCCATACGCCTAATAATAATCCCTACAAAACAAAACAATAATAAATTGGTCATTTTCAATCCACAACTGTTTGTGAGACACTGCTGTGCGCAATTGGCTGCCGCGTTTCGCCCACAAATATACGGTCAATTCACTTTACAGTCTATTCTGTGAAGCGCTTTGAGACGTCGAGAAGACGTGAAAAGCGCTATATCAAATGCAAGGATTATTATTTTATTATTATTATAAATCGCCAGCCACTATGCCAAGCCCCTCTGGAATTTTCTCCCTCAATTCCTCCACCCTGTCTTCAAAAGCCATCTAAAATTCACATTCTTGGACTAGCCTCGAAAGGGGAGTGGGATGCATGCTGCAACTGAGGTTTCAATAAAATGTAGCAGAGTGCTTTGTGAAATGCCGAGTCAGTCGATCACAAGCACATCAGTGCAGGTCTCACTCACAAGGTGTGTCCTCAATGTAAAAGAAAACAAAACTCATTACATCGTTTTGATCAATAATGAGTGCCACAGGCTTTTATTACTCCAGCTTCGATTTAGACAACACGTTTCGAAATGTTTGACGTGGATTTTCTCTGAAGTGAACTGTGCAGCTGGATGTTACAAGCTGCACGTTAGAGGAAGGAACCGCTAAAGGCATCATAATAATAATAATCCTTGCATTTGATATAGCGCCTTAACACATCATTGGGACGTCTCAAAGTGCTTCACAGAATATACTGTAAAGTGAATTGACTGTATACTTCTGGGGTGAAATGTAGGATGCCAGCCGGCTGGCAGGTTTCCTCAGTGGCTTTGTTGAGAGTTGGGAACAGGAGTAGGTCACTCAGCCCGTTGAGATTACTGTTTATACACGATTAAAAGTTTGCTCACTCACTCCAGCCCCACCGACTGCCACATTCTGTGAAATTTTTATGCAACAGGAGAAATCCTAGCGAGTCGTTTGGCAACAGCGCGCATCATCCAACTTACTGCACTTCATAGCAAGAGGATCTTCACCCCCACAGATGAAGTGTTCTTTATTTTACATTTTGGGGGGGAAAAATAGTAACTAATTGTAGAATAGAACTTAGAATAATGAAACGCAGGCGAGTCAAATGCTGGAGTTTGATCGGGGGAAAGTATAGCTCATATAAATGACACTTGGATAAGTGAGTCAGATTGCTGACCCTGAGGTCATGACTGGACACCCACAAAGCTGCACAGACTCATTCCCAGGACATTTGAGAAATAACAGCTTCTATTTTTTCTGGCTGCAGCACTGGTACACGATGCCCTCTGCTCTTTCCTAAGTGAAGTGGGGCTGACGTGATGGGTTATTAGCACTGGGCCTGCCTGTGGGAAAAAACTGCTGAAGCTCTTCAGAGATGTGACTTTGTATCGTAACAAGGGCTCTGGCCTGCTCCACGTCACCGGCCTGGCCCACCCCACCATCGGTGGTCAGGCTTTCTGCCTCCCTACTCCCACCCTTTGGAACTTCATCCCACCGTCCCTTCGTTTCGCGCCCTCTCTTGCTTCCTTCAAGACACGTCTCAACACCCTCTTCGACCACTCCTTCAGTCACCCTCCTACCCCTACACTCGCTGCCCTCCACCCTTCCTGATCCCAACCCCCGGCTCAGGTCCAAATCCGTGATTGTCCAGCATCTTGGGACATCCTCCGAATGTGAAAGGCATTATACAAAGTGTGTACTATCTGAGCGTGCGCGTGAGTGCAATCGTATGGCATGAGTGCGTGAGCGTGTGTGTGTGCGTTCACGCGACTGTGTGTGTGTTAGTTACCAGCTCACTGACCAGTGGAAATATTCTATTGACCTTTCAAAGTTTTGAACACCTCTATCAGGTCTCTTCTCATCCTTCTCTGTTCTAGTGAAAACAGGCCTGCAGCGTTATGTGAAGTGTGGTTTTACAGATTGGGTTTGCTGTGTAAAACATTGAGTGCTGTCTGAGGCAGGACTTTCTGGTTACAATGACGACATTCTCTGGGGCTTGCAAAAACCAGCAGTGGATCTGAACGGGAAGGCAAAAAGCCCAGTTTCTGTAAACTATTTTCACTATCTTACCTAATTGTAACCATCCCCGCTCCCCTTCCCCCAAGGCTGCCAGATTTGAGTTCATATATTTTTATCATGTGTATAGTGAGTTTTATTTTATGAGAGTCAAAGGTTCAGTCACCCCTCACTGACTCTCTCCGCTGTACCATGACTGATGCCAGGTGCTTAGCTCTATTATTGCCAGTGGAGCCTGTGGTTTTCCACTGGCAGCTAGTGTGCAAAACAGTAGCACCAGAGTGGGGTGACGCACAGTTGGGCACAGCAGCCCACTTATCTCCTCCCCCACCTCACCCCACCCCCTCTCCATCAGTGACATGAATATCCTGCGTTCGAAAATGATTGTGGCATGGTCTGTGGCCGAGTCATTAATATTGCAGGCAGAGTAACGCAAATATGTTTCCCTGTGTTTATTGGAGTGCCTGGCTCCATTAAACCCTGTAACTTTTCAACATGTCATCGCAAATAAAATGAAAAAAAGATGGTTATTATCATTATTATATGGTTTAACATCTAACCAGTGTCACTTCCCTGTCAACACTGCAGTCTCCCTGGCAATCACACTTGAAGCAGGTTTGACACTACCTAATCTGTGCTTATCCCAATTCTGCGTGATAATTCTCACATGTTTCCGTGTTGCTGAGGGAGCTTTGGACTGTGCCCATCTGCGTAAGTGTGGCATATTAATAATAATAATAATAATCGTTGTATTATAACATCTTCGGGAGTCTCAAAGCTCTTCACAGAATATAGTGTAAAGTGAATTAATTGACTGAATATTGTGTGGGTGAAACGCAGCAGTGTCCCACAAACAGTTCTGGATTGAGTGACCAAAACATTTTTAAAATTTATTTTTTGTAAGGGCTTATTACCCCCAGAAAAGCAATCTGCCAATCGACTTAACAACCGAGTTCCTGCTTACTGCTTACTGCTAGGTGTCCTCAGCATTCAGGCCACTTGCTTCTGTTTGGAAGCTGGTCTGATCTGTGCTCGTATGTAAAGCAGGTCTGATTTGCACATACCATGAAGCAAGACTGATACGGGCTGAGCTGTGGTCCCACATGAAGCGGATGTGCTCCATTTGAGCTTTCACTCATTTAAGAGCCAAAAAGTCCCACTTTAAACTCCAGAGGGTTAATGAAACAAACTGAGTCACATGGGGATGCCCAATGAAAGGCTGACATGATTACTCCAGCACACTGCAGAATGCAATGGCTTCATTGCAGCCAGTTTTACTTACTGTTTTAGCTCAACCAATTGCGTGTGTTCAGGATTGCAGCGGACGGAGGTTAATAAAAAATCTGTGGCTTTTGACTTCTGCCGCGTCCAATGAAATGGGGAAGAAAGGCAGTGAGTCACTGTCAGGATCACCCTCGCCAGCTGTGATACTGGCCCGCATCACTGAGCAACAGCCGTGTGAAAATCTCAGCAAGGCGTTTGGTGGTGGGGGAAGGGGAAGGGGGAGTTTCTCGTGTGCCAGTGGGAGCAGCCTAAGGCTTCCGAGCCCGCTCTGAGCAGTGGTTTACATTTGACCTCTCCTGTGTGTGTCCGTCTCCAGGTGAACTCGATTCAGAGCCAAATGCAATCCAAAGGTGGATATGCAGGTCCAGCCTTGCCAGTCAATGTTCAGATGCAGCTCGTGGACACAAAGGCAGGATAACCTTTGAAAATGCCTGTGGTAAGTATTGCCATCTTCTATTGCTAACCAATAAACATTCCGTTGCCCCCCCCACAGTTTTCCTTCCTTTTCCTCCTCCCCCTACCCCCGAACCAGCACACTGATTTTCTGGAGTCCAATATTCATCCACTGCTATATTTTTTGCGTATGAGCCAGGGAGTGAGTGAGACCCGGGGCTGACTGCTTGTCACTAGGGGTATCTCAGCAGATCTTGCTGTCACCCATCCAGAATCCACACCCATACTTACTGATGCTCTTAACCCTCTTGCTGTCTCCCACCCCTTCTCCACTCAACACACACACACACCCACACATCGAGAACCAAGCCATTCAGGGCTCCTTCCTGCTTCCCTCTGTACTCTGTGACAATTCTGTTATTCCAGACAATATTCACGAGTATATTAAAGATTGTTTGACCTGGCAAAGTGAGTTTCGGGATTTGTAAAAGAATTTGCAAGTTGTGAAGCCTACAGATACCAGAATGTATCTTGGTTCAACCAGCTCCAAATCAGTTTGGATACTGATACTGTGACAGAAGTTGGAGACGAGATTAGCTGCTGAGCAGTTATGTTAGGTTGGCCTGAGACACATCTAGGAACCTGCAGGATTCAGTATTTACAAATTCCATTCCAAATCCTGAAAATTGAACCGACTCCGGTGGGATGGTGTGTTTCGCTCTGACCGGATGAATGACGTGCACTAACAGGATTGTACGTTTACTCTTCGCAGATTCCTTTGAATTCATGTTTCCTCCTCTCATCCCTCTTTCGCCTTGGTGACTGCTTCTCTGAGCTCTTCATGATGAGACAGGCCCAACAACTGCTCTCTTGTCCCTGTGGCTGTCCTTCGGCTGGAGTCTCCTGATCTGCTCTGAAGATGTCATTCCCGGGGACGGGTCCTGCCATGCTTTGCGCGGGTCTGGCCTTTGCTGAAGTCATGGACATAGCTTCTTGTATTTTTTAAAAATATAAATAGAATTTTAGCACGTGCGTCATTCCTTCGCAAGTCTGCAAGTGCCGGAACCACGCATTCCCATGAATTCTTCGCCCACTTTTCGTTTCTCTATTTTTTGGGATATCAGCGTTTCTTATTTTCTTCCTTTTTTTAATTTTTGTTTTGGATTTTTTTCATTGTTGTTATTGCTTTTTTCGTTTTAGTCTTTATTATTGATGTCTAAAGGTCTGGAACCTGAAAGCACAATTTACATTATTGCGCTCCCTCTGAGCAAGTCAGCGTGGTAGATGACTGCATGTAATGTAGCTCAGTCCAGTGGCTCACTGACGCCAAAGTATTTGTTACAGCGGAATGATGATACTATTGCTGACCAGTGTCTAGCCAGTGTGCCAGTTTTGCCAACTCCCTGCCTTTTCCTCTCTTCCCTGTCGAATTGTAAATTGGTTTGCCTCACCTTCTTTCACGTCTCGTAGTTCAGTTATCGAGCTGATCTGATCTAACATCCACCGCCCTCTCCCTCTTCACCCGACCAAACTGGCGTTCTGTACGATGGCCTGTGGTAAATGTGCAATTCAGTATACTCCTCTTATATCGCTGGCAACAGAACAGTTACGCCTGACCTTTGAGCATGCATCCAGTCTAGTTACACCTGTAACACTGCGATGCGGTAGTGCTCATCACTCTCTGTACGTCAGCCTTGGTTGTACTGCATCGGTTGCTTTTTTTTGATAAAAATAAGAACCCTAATCCTGGATTTACAGCCTTTGTCCAGTACCTCACTCGGAGTGCTGTTCACATCGAACTCTGTACAGTTTTGTAGATTTTTCTCTCCAGCTCTTTGAGTGAATGTCAGTTTCTTTGTATTTTTATTTGGGGGGAGGGAGGGTAGGTGTGGGTTTTGGGTTAAATCGTGCTTGTCATTGGCAATATCTTGAGCTGTCTGAACAAACACCAGAGAAACTTCTGTTCAACAGGGTGGCTTTCGCTCTCCAACATAAGAAAGCAAAAAAAAAATCTTGCTCAGGTCTCAAAGGGCATATTTTCTCCCATTTCCACTCACATGTCCTGTACTCATATTGCACTGTTTCAGAATGGTGCAAAAGTTGTGCATGGTTTAAGAAATCAAACAAACTGAACAACGTTTGTTTTCAGTAGGATATCACGTTGGCTTAACTCAAGACGTACTCCATCAAATGTGATTCATGTGATATTTTAAGTAGTGTTAGAGCTTGTATTTTAGTGTATCATTGTTATTGGAGCCTAGAATAATTCCCCTTCACCCCCTTTCCTTCTCTATCCCACCCTCCCACCCCCAGTACTGAACTGCAGGAATCCGTGATACAAAATCCATAAAAGCTTCTGGCAAAGATAGGGAATGTTATTATGTGGAGCGGTGCAGTACAAATTGTAATGGAACATCTGACACCAAGATATAAAGTATTTTTTGAAGTATGAATGAGTATGGTAATAATTACTTGAAAGATTAGCTGAGTTGTGGCTTGCCGGCCTTTGGTGTATGTTGTTATGACTGATTTGAATGCATCCTGGTCCTCTAAACTCTCTGTGGTAAATGTTATGTAAAGGGGTGTGTAATTTATCATCACTTAGTGCTGCCATAGCAAGCCATTAATTGAAATGTAATTTATCATTCAGATGCAGGCAAAGGATTTTGTCAGCTGACTAACTGAAGATATGTTTTAGCATATTTTTATAATGCATACACTTTTGTACATGGTCTTCATTCCCGAGTAAAATCAGTTTAGTCCATAATGGCTTATAGTTTTAAAGTGACTTCAAAAGATTAAAATAAAGGTTGTCATTTGCTCTTGCACCTTTCTTGTGCTTTCTGTTCGGTTAGACACAACAGCTCGTAATTATATAGCGTCTCAGAATCCGCACTGAACAGTAATTATAATAATAATCCTTGCATTTGATATAATGTTGAGACATCTCAAAGCGCTTCATGGAATATATTATAAAGTGGATTGATTGTGTATTTCATGGGTGAAATGTGGTATTCAGTAGCACACAATGTCAGGTTTGGATCACAAGAGATATGATTCCTTATCCAAAATGGGCCACTTTTCATTTGTGAGCCTGGACCTTTGAATGTTTACAGACTATTCAACTGTTGGGCGATCCTCATGCAAAGTCCACTTACATAGCATGAGGCACTGGATGGACATAGAGATCACAAAATCCATTATTTTCATCGCTTTCATCATTTTCATCGCTGAGGCCAACTGGCACCTCGACTGAATCCAGGCGAGCTCAGAGCAGAACAGGTTGGTGGCTATCCAGGCATGTCGTGGTTCCACACTGGGCTGTGGCTTCGTTGAGCCTTTGAAAGAGAGAGCGAGCACGTGGAACACATTTTACATTGAACCTTCTGTGGCTGCACAAGTGATCAGATAACATTTGAATGTTTCTAATCAAATCTTTAAATCAATCTTTAAACTATGTTTGATGATGTCTACTGCACATTCTTACTGGTGATTAGTGAACTTAACCCCCCCCACCAACCCATGTTGGTATTGGGGTATCAAGACACCCTGTAGACTCTTAAAATTACCCCCTAAAATAAATTATACAAGCTATAGACTGTGTCCATATTAACTTTCTCTTTTAACCCATTCCAAGAAATGTAATTAATCCTAACGTTAATTTTTAAATTGGTGTTTTAATTATACAAAATACAGAATGACTAGATATTAATATTCTTTTCTAACCATTTCCAAAGTGTTATCAAATTTTAAGTGGGAGTATTAAAGAATTCTGGTACCCTAATAAACAAACCAGAATTATTCGTGAAATTGATTAGGCAAAATGTACAATTACTATCGTAAAATTCTCTTAAACTGCTCCAAAGAATTGTTATTAATTTTCTAATCCTTTTGGTTTGGAATACATTGTGTTGTTAGCCTGGTAGCATTCTCACCTCCAGGTCAGAGGGTTGTGGGTTCAGCTCCAAGGGACTTGGAACTCTTAGGTTGACATGCCAATATTAATAATAATTATCCTTGCATTTGAGGTAGCACCTTATCAAGAGCTTTGATAAGTGCTTCACAGAATATACTGTAAAGTAAATTCATTATATTTTGTGGGCAAAACACAGCAGCCAATTGTGCACAGCAGTATCCCACATACAGTCGTGGAGTGAGTGACCAAATTTGTTGACCTGTTAATTATATAATTGACCAATTCAAATCATTTGAATATTGAATAATTCACAGTAGCTCTAATTCACGCTGTACATAATACAAATATGCTTACACATAATACACAGATGTTTACACATAGACTCATTCCAAAAAACAATAAGAACCAGAACAAAATAGACTGCTGAGTGCATAACACCCTGAAAATCTAACCCTTAGTCCTTAAATGGAATTCGAAGCATGGTGCTTGACAAACTTGTGCAACCTAGCTTGAAGCCTATGACCTCTATTAGAGATCAAACTGCTTTATAGCCTTTATCCAGGAGAGTCACTGAGTTTAATGCTCATTTGATATGAGGTTACGGCTGTCTTTTGCTTTCACCCCAGACTCTTAAATACATTTGACTTGGAATTTGCCATTGCTAGTTTAGACAAGGGCAATCCGATCAAAAAAATAAGTTAGATATGTGTGCTAATAATACACAGGAGGCTGAAATGAAAACTGTCATTTTTTTAATATATAAAAATCTAGGGAGCATCATTTAACTATGAACATGATGTGTTTCACACAAAACAAAGGCATCTTATAGAAAGCATAGGCTTGAAATTCCTTTCTGAATATGAGGTAAAATAAGATGGCTGATTTAATTTGGGGAATTAAGGGGAAAGCGAACATTAATTATACACCCTAAATTCCTGTGAGTTTTGGGTGCCTATCTTTTGGAGATATGGTGGTCCACTACAAAACACTTAAAAGGTCTTAGTTCTGCACGAGGTTAGGAAATGTTGTTTATAATTTAGAACTTGTCTTTTTCCCTCCAACAACAGTGTGTACATAAAAAAATACATATATACAGCTCTGTGGAAGACTTCCTGCTTCGTTTTCCTTGGCTACCTTCTATAAATGAAAATAACTCCTTCCAGTAGCTGGAAGTATGTAATAAAATAATAATCTGCATTTATATGACGCCTGTAACATTTCAAAGCACTTCACAACATTTCTGTCATTGTTTATTTGTTTATTAGATACATGCAATAATATGCATACTTCAATGTTCCACAAATAGCCATGAAGTAAATGACCAATTTATCTGGAGGATTGTTGGCAAGGGCACCGTGAGAAACTCCTTTGATTTATATATATATATATTATATAGTGCCATGGGATCTTTAACGGCCATCAGAACAGTGAGACAGGACCTTAGTTTAACTTCTCTACCAAAGGATGGCACCTCCAACAATGCTGCAATTCTCCTAGGCACTGCACTGTCAGCCCAGCGCGAGCAAATAAAATCTTGATATGGTGCTTCAACCCACAACCTTCTGACCCAGCCTGGTTACCAACTGAGCCAGCTTGACCCCTAAACCTGGCTCCAGGTTACCAATATATGTGATACTAGCAATATGTGTAATACCAACGTATGTGGTACTACTGGAAAGGATTTTGGAATTGACTTTGGTGAAGAAATACAGTAAATCCGATCCCATCATTTCATTCCCCTCACCCATAACCCCATGTTTCTGTTCATCGTTCCTTGTAGATTTTGAGATCTACTTTTTTTTTAACTCTTCCCCTTAGGACATGATTGGAACTGATTTGCCTGCAATTCAGCTACAATAGCCTCTAAAATAAAGAGATTGTATTAGCAACATGTACTATCAGTAGTTAATCAGCTTATTTTTGCACTTTTCACAACTCAACTTTGTTTGGGGTTCAAGCTCCACATCAGGAACACAACTGAAATTCTGCGTACTAAGTTACTGATGCTTCTTCCTACAAATGCACTATCACTACACTTTATACCAATTAACTATCAAGCATGTTGAGTTATTTGACATTGTAGTTATTGTATCAAGGGTGAGGATTATCATGATGTTGTTTGCACTCAATCCCTAACCGCTGCCTTGGAGTCCCAATCCCTAACCGCTACCTTGGAGTCCTCTGAACTCCTCTCCCTCTGGCCTTCAACCCTCACCGACCCCTCTTCTGCTCTCTCCCTCCTCCACAACACCCTCTCCTCCACACTTGACACTCTTGCCCCTATCACCTCCCATACTGTCTTCTACTCTCGCTCCTCCCCCTGGTTCACCACCCACCTCCGCTCACTGAAGAGCCAGGTGCGGGCCGCTGAACGCACCTGGGTCAAATCTGGCCTAACGGTCCACCGACAAATCTGGCTGGACTTCCTCAAAATCTACCGCTCCACTCTAGCCTTGGCCAAATCGTCCTTTTACTCCAGGATAATCCTGGAGGCGAAGGACAACCCCAGGCTACTGTTCTCTACCACATCCCAACTCCTCCGTCCGCCCCGCCACCCCGCGCAGGTCATCTCCTCCAACCTTCACTGCGAGGAGATGTTGGATTTCCTTGAATCCAAGATCAAGGGAATCCGCTCCGCGGTCACTTCCCCTCCAACATCCACCCACCACCCACCCCTTCCCTACCACACTCCGACTCCTACCCATCCTCCCCTACACACCTTCGTACCCGTTTCCCCATCCTCTGTCACCAAACTCATCCTCACCCTGAAACCTACCATCTGCTCCCTTGACCCCATCCCCACTTCACTCCTTATCTCCCAGCTCCACCTCCTTGCCCCACATATCACAGACATCGTCAACCTGTCCCTCTCCTCTGGCTCTATTCCCATTCCCTTAAAAACTGCCACCATCACTCCCACCTTAAAAAAAAACCTCCCTTGATGCGTCGCAGCTATCAAGCTACCGGCCCATCTCCAACCTCCCCTTCTCAGCGCCTTGGGACGTCCTCCTGACGTGAAAGGCGCTCTATAAATGGAATCTTGTTGTTGTTGTTGTTGTTCCTATCTAAGGTCCTGGGACGAGTTGTCGCCTCCCAACTGCGCTCTTTCCTCTCCAACCATTCACTATTCGAACCCCTTCAATCGGGTTTCCGTGCTGCCCATAGCACAGAAACTGCCCTGGTCAAGGTCACCAATGACATCCTGACCATCTGTGACCAGGGCTCCCTCTGCCTCCTCGTCCTCCTCGACCTATCGGCAGCATTCGATACGGTCGACCATGCTATCCTCCTCCACCGCTTGTCCTCCCACCTAAACCTTCAAGGCCCTGTCCTTGAGTGGTTTAGGTCGGACCTCTCCCACCGTCTTCACTTTGTCTCCACAAATGGCTTCTCCTCCACCCCTCGCACTGTCTCGTGCGGTGTCCCTCAAGGCTCTGTCCTCGGTCCCCTCCTCTTCACCCTCTACATGCTCCCCCTTGGTGACATCATCCGCAGATATGGGGTTAACTTCCACATGTATGCGGATGACACCCAACTCTACCTTTCCTCCTCTACCCTCAACTCCACGACCACCGATGTCCTGACAGTCTGCCTGTCCGACATCGAGTGCTGGACGAGAGACAACTTTCTTCAGCTCAACGTGTGCAAAACTGAGGCCCTCCTGATTGGCTCACGTCAGCGCCTCCGCACCTCAGGCGCTGACACCATCAGCATCCAAGGCTGCACTCTCCACCTCTCAAAGCAGTCAGGAACCTCGGGGTTCTGTTCGACCCTGAGCTGTCCTTTCTCCCTCATATCTGCGCCACAACTGGCACCGCCTTCCATCACCTCCGGAATGTCGCCAGACTACGGCACTACCTCACCCCTCACGCTGCTGAAACTCTGGTCCACGCCTTTATCACCTCAAGGCTG